GCTCAGTACATTGCCCACCCAGGGATAATTCCACCTAGTGAGTCCCCAGCCCATACTTAGCCTGATCAGAAGGCTACCCACCTTCTTTCGGAACTTTTGTGAAATGATTCAACACTTCAAATTTTGGTTCCATGAATTTGGCGTGGTTTTTATTGAGGCTTCATTTGTTGCCTTTGTCTCGCTCGCTTTTTCACCGTCCCAAATTTTCAATACTGTCTAAAATCGTATGTGTGAAGAAAATAAAAAAAAATGCTCAGTCAATCAATAATAATAATAGCAAATTGTGTGTCTATAAATTTCAACTCAATATGCAAGGTAAAACAACAATAATGGAGATTGAATTCATAGAGAGTGACAATACAAGAAAGATGCAGAAAGGGTATCTAGTTACAAAAATAACAAACTATAAATATGCCAGGCAAAACAATAACAGAGATTATAGAGAGTGACAAAAAAGATGCAGAGAGAGTATTATACAAAGAACCAATAAAAATAAAAATAAAAATAAAAAGGGATTTCTAAATAACAAAAAAAATAAACACACACTCTACCCACTCAAACACTCAATTTATTATATTTGTAATAATATTTAATTTATTTTACGTCACGCCAATATCTTTAACTAAAATCTCTTCAACACTATATAAATATTCGACCGTGAAATCAGTAAAAAGATTTATAACTAAAATCACTTCAACACATAACTTCTGATTTATTTTCTCCAACTGATGCAGTACCTACCGATGTGACAGCAGACGATGACGGATGGACAGCGGCACAGACGACGACAGCGGGACAACGGCACAGACGACGACGAGGACGGCGGGACAGCAGACGACGAGGACGGCGGGACAGCAGACGACGTCGATGGCGAGGACAGACGACGGCGGCCGACGTCGATTACGGACGATGTCGAGGACGGACAGCAGACGACGGCGGGACAGCGTCACGACGTCGGCAGGATGATGTCGAGGACGGCGATACAGGATTTGGAATTTTGGAGACTCTGTATGGACGAAAGACGATTTGAAACAGCGGAACTGTGTTTGGAAATGAAAGACGGAGGAGGCGCTTGGGCCATCTTTTGGTATTTATAGTTAGGGTTTAATGCTTTTAGGTTTAAGTTTTAACCTGTAAACTAAATTATTTATTAAATAAACACTAAAAATTATTAATTATTTATAAAATAAAATAAAAAAAAAAATTTTCCTAATTAGTACTCTCACACACGTGTCTCTTCTGATACTTGAACCCGGACCTTCCATTGAGGAGTAAAAGGATGATACCGCTAGGTCACTGGGCCGTTGAAAAATAAATATTTTTTTTCTATCTCCCTATATAAAATACACACTATTACTATAATTTTTATATCTATGCATGTATATATATATATCACTGCTACCTTAGACTAAATACGTTAATATATTTAATTTTGGGCAAATAATACTGCTATTTTTTATTTTGGATATATAATTTCGTTAAGTTTGAAAAAAAATGATCAAATAATGACTTGTGATTTAAAAGGTACATTTTTTGAGGTACTTTCATTCAAATATTAGATTTTTACTCATTAAAACACTCTTTGTTACTTCAAAGGCAACTCGAATAAATTTAACTCAAAATTCTCATTTTTTTTCAAATATTAAATCTTTATACGATAAAAGGTACCTTGATTGAAGTATTTTCGTTCAAATATTCAATATTTACTAATTAAAACACTTTTTGTTAAATTGTTACTTTCAATGATTCAATCTTAACTTATTAAAATATTATCCGTGAATTCAAAGGGAATTCAAATAAATTTAAATCAAAATTATTATTTTTTTTTCAAATATTCAATCTTTATATAATAAAATGGTATAGTGATTTAAAAGGAACCTAGATTGAGGTATTTTTATTTAAATATTCAATTTGTATTTATTAAAACACTTTTCATGACTTTGAAGGGAACTCGAATAGAAATCATTTTTTTGTATTCAATATATATCACAATCACAAAGTAGTACATTTGTCAAATAAATGCTTAAATGTTATTTTTATAACTCAAACGAATTGTAATAATATATATGACAATTCATTCACTGCCCCGTTGAGTGATAAAATCATTAAAAAATTGTGATAAGAATAATGGGGGAGCGTATTGAGGAAAAGTTATATAAGTTTGTTTTTAACTTTTCATTTGAATAGAAAGCATTTTTTGTTTTTAATATATATCACAATAGCCTTTTGTATTTTATAATAGCCAATGAAATCCTTTTGAATTTTATTTTTTTTATAAGATTTAATTTATGAAATACTCTTTAGAGAAGAAGAAAAAAAAAAAAAAACCTTTTAAAACATATCATATAGAAGTTAGAACCATTATATAATTTTGTCATATTCATGCTTTGTATATATTGGTGAGATTCATTGTTAGTTGATATATATTATAATTCTACTATAATAGAAAAACTAAGTAATGTTATGCAAATTAGTGTTTATCAGATCAGTATTTTTTAAATATTAATTTAAATATGTAATATAAAATCTATACATACTTATTTTATTATATTAATTTACTAAATATTAGTATTTTATTGCATCTAAAATTGCATTTGATAATTTTATTATATTAATTAACTAAATATTAGTATTTTATTGCATTTAGAATTTTGATAAGAACACAAAAAATCATTATTTTATTTTTTAAATATATATATATTATTAGTATTTATAATTTTATATTATGTAACTATTATTATATGTATGTTTTATTTGTATCTGTGAGAGAATGAGAATAAAAAAAGAAAAAGAAAAAGTGGAGGATAAGATCCGAATCTGTTGATAGGATCAAAAAGTTATATATTTTACTAAGCAAATGAATGCACAAGTAATGTTGAAGCAGAAATGGTAATAATGTTCAGAGTTCAATTTTCTTTAGAACAATGTTTCTTGTATTTTTGTCCGGTTGGTTGGACTTGATTTTTCGGATTCCTTGGGTGGGTTTAACGGGCTTTAGAATTTCGAGCTGAGATTCGGGTTTTAGATCATAACAACTCGAGCCCAGGCCCAGGCCGAAAACAAAAAATTATTGTCCAAGCTCGTAAAAATTCGGGCTGAGCTAGAGAAAATTGGGATTGGACCCGCTCGAGTTACAACCCTTGATAACTCTTACTAATGTCATTTATGGAAAGGAAATGTTTAAGAATAGAAAATAATATTAATAATCATAATTGAAAAAAAAAAAAAAAACATTTAGAAATAGGAAATAGTATTCATAACCATGGTTTAGTTTGCCAAATGTTTGCGTCCTTCAAGAAAAAAAAAACTTTAGTTATAAAATTATTTATGATCATAATTTTTTTTAGAAGGTTTTTTTTAGGAAAGTTAATTTAGAAATTAACTAACTCATAATTAATTAACGAGAGGGAAAGCTTTATTTACATGTGGATTCAATTGTAATTTTTTTAAATTGAAGTTTCAGGTGTCTACACATGATAAACTTCATTCAGAAGCAATCCTTTAAACAAAAGATTTTCAACTAATAAACAAAGTTACAAAGATGAATCCCGTATAATGTCAGAAACAAGGAAAAGAAAAAATAAAAATAAATAAAAGCTCAAGAGTGTTTTTAATTTGTTTTATATCTATAATATAATAATACACATCTTTATATGTTTTGGAAAAAAATTTACAAATTAATTTTTTTCCCCCTAAAACACTTGTAATAAAAAATTTAAAAAATCTGATCTAAAGTAGAATCGAGACATTCGACAAGTATTACAATTTGATGCTTGGCAACAATGTTCAAGACTTCCATTTGATAAGTCTTCCACTAGCTACATAGTATTCTTAAGTCTGGAACACATTTTATGCCAGCATGAAAAATGGAAGTTTTTTTACAGTCTTGGAGGTTTTAGTGTCACACTTATCAAATAAGGTGGTTTCCTTTTCTAAGAAACCATTTGTGGTTGAGGAGAGCCCCTCCCTATTCTCTTTCTTTTCCCCACCCACCCTCCAATTCTCCAAATCAAATGCACAATTAATCATGGACATATTATCTAAACACATTATGTTTTAGATTCCCACCCATTGTTACGATGAGTCAATCTAAATCGACTCTTCAAAATTGTTGTAAATGGACATATTGTGGTTGCTGGTTATTATTGTCTTAATAATGGGAGGGTGACTTGGGATGTATAATTCCGTAGACAATTTCACAATTGAAAACTTTTAGAGGTTACATACTTCCGAGCATTGATTCAGTTTATTTGTGACTCTTGTAAAATAAATGGCAATGATAGGATGGAGACAATTTTGGGGTTTATGCCAATGATTTTGTAGTACAATGGTACCACATCTTAACAGAGAAAGGGTGCATTAAAGTTCATAGATTGACTTGAAATGTAAATGAGGAATATTTCTACCATACCCCGGGTAGTGGGTACGGTACCCGAGTCGTGTTGGATCATCCATTAAATGCCGATTTTATTTATTCAATGAAGGGAAATGAATAAATCAAAAGAGAGTTATTTTCTCTCCCCCCACCATTTGTTTAGTCTCTTCTTCACTTGTGTTTATGAAACACACAGAAAATCTTGACAGAAGTTGAGTTTGTAGAATGGAAAATAATTTGTAGACTACTAGAGTTATACTGGTCTCTTTGTGATGTATCCTCAAATTTGAATTATTTTGGTCATTTTAACTTGAATCACTCATGATGTGCCTGTGATGTATCCTTAAAAAATAATTCAATTTATTTTGGCCATTTTTGAGAAATAAAAAACCTGGTGAATAAAGAAGCACAAAGAAAAGTCAGCCAGCCAATGTGATGTACTACAATTCTTAAAAGTAAATAATAGACAAGCACTCATAGGTCACCAGACATTATAAGAACTCACGGGTTGAATCATGGAAGTCTATTGGGGGATATAGCTCACATGAAGCATATTAATTTTTTTTTTTTAAAAATCCAAAAAGTTCAAGCAAACACACGCCCATTATATATTATGCCTCTACCGAGATTCAAACCCTCCAGCATATTCAGTATTGAACAAGTAAAAAGTGTAGGAGTACTTGTTATTATGTACAACCAGCACAAAGGCTGGTTATTTCTCCCCTTATTACAAATAGAAAATTCTATATACCATGTAACCACTATCACTCACAGCAACATGAATAGACAAAAAGATCTGCATTTCGATTCGATATGCACGGGCAAACGATTGTTGGTCAGTCTTTAACGCGCCTTCTCCCATCTTTTCCATTTCCAAACTTCATATTTTTCTTGGGGCAGCATCAATATCTCCATTTCAATTCAACATGCGAGGGCAAAAGATTGTTGGTCAGTCTTCCAACGATCCTTCTCCCATCTCTTCCGCTTCTACACATCCTATTTTGCTTGGGCCAGCATCGATATCTTCATCAGGAGCTAATTTTTCAGATCTCTCACTGCTATCCACCATACTTGCCACAACCGTCTCATTGGCACTTGCTGACTCGCAAACATTTTTGCTTTCTTCTAAATTTTCGTCAACTCTATAGTAGACCTTTAAAGGAAAAGGAGGAATATTAAATGTATATTCCATCTGATGGCTCAAACTACAAACTTTGACATGAAAAACGAATTAAAACACTCACTAAGTTGAACTTCAAACTGATGTCCCATGCTGGGAAGTGATGGTGAGTCATGCCATTGAAAATTTCTTGTGTATCTCTTCTATAATGTTTTGACAAGGTTTACACTACACTCCATTTATAACTTGTAATTGTATGTCAAAGAATTTGAGACTGAGATTAACCCTAAGAAAATTCATTTCAATGCAAACTATTTCCCAGAGAAATTATTATGACAACTGCTTAAATTATCAGTTTGTGTACAGCCACACATGCAATAAATACATAATTTGAAGAAAGATTTTTTCCCCCTGTAATAAGTATTTTCATTTACCAAAAGATAAAAGAAACGGGGGAATTCTTAACATTAGGTATAAGAGAACGTTCCGTCATTCCTCCATGGTGAAAAGTGATGCATATGTCCATCAAAAAGAGAACAAACACCACTATACATTATATACATCCAGCTATATCTAATTACTTTATAGCATTCATTTGCCAATAAGTGGACTTCTCAGGAACGGAAAGGTTGTACTGCAAATACAACTACTAGTACAAACAACAGAGATTCAGGTTACCAACAGGCCAGTGGCCTAACGGTACCCTGCTTTCCAAAGGGAAGTCAGGGGTTCGAGCCTCGGTGGAAGCATGTGTGTGTGAGTACCAACTAAGCCACAAAAAAAATAAAAAAATAAAAAAATAAAAATACAAATAACAGAGAGTAGAGAGGGAAAGCCCAGAGACAATCATACCACACATGTTCTAGCCGGTGAGAGTACTTTGAAGGAATTGGGACGGTTGTTGAAGTTAGTTTCAGGCACTCCAGGTATTCCTTCAGGGCATGTGAAATGGTCCCAATCGTGCCCAACCTGACATAAGAAACCATCCACTATATTGTCAATAAATTAATAACTGATAAATAATTTACATTCACAATATCCTTGGATGCATTACTGAATAAACAAGGATGGACACACATTCAAACCCAGAACCTTGGGTGGGATGTCTTACTGCCCCAAATGAGGAAAAAGAAAAGCTACGAAAATGTATCAATTTTCAACCAGCTAATCAAGCCAAAAAGAGCTCATCATTGGCTTTTCAGAAAATGGAACCCCTAAACCATGTGGTGTCAAATCTGTACCACATGTAATTAAACTTCTCAAATATAGTTATCTTGATTCAATTGCCCACTAAATAAACTAAAAATAAAAAATAAAAAATTAGATCATTTAGTGAGCACTGAATTAGAATACCAAAAATCTTATCACTCCTAAAAATCCAATAACATAAATTTGAGATAAAAGTTAAAAAGAGTTTCATTATGGTTCTCTAGTAGTAGTCTAAAAGATGACATCAATTCTAGAGGTTAGTCTGTAGTGTTGGATGTCATTCAAGCTCCCAAGAAGCTTGAAAATCATCTTCAATAGGAGGGGTGGAGAGGGAATGGAGTATAGCGTGGGATGGGGTCTGAGGTAACTCTTACTTCACCAAGAGAAAAGGAAAAATGGATAGCACCAGAGCAAAGAGTAACACTGATAAATTAATCAATCAACAATAACCTGTATAAAAGTGCTCCAGTCAAGCAGTCTATAAAATATATTACACTCTCGTTAAGAAATAGTAGAGCATGTATAATTTTAAGAAGGGTTAATTCCTTACTCTTCCATGCCCACCAAACTCCCAAGCATCACTGTCCAGTGCAACTCTATATTTCCCAGGCAAGTCACACCCAACCTTGTACCTGTATGTTTTAGAGCATGGATCACTTGAAGATTTTGAAAAGCCCAAAATAAAATTATAGCATTATTATCATCATCCTCAAAGCCTTCTCCAAAATGTTTTAAACTTGGATCCACCAATCTGATTCTTCCATATACTCTGTGGAGCCATATTCGCATAGAATCACACAAATATTTTGCATAATGAAAAACAAATATACCCATCATATGTCTTTTCTGGATGGAAGTTGAATACAAAAACTAGGTCTCCGCGTTCAAACACAATAACCTGTAAAATGAACCAAATAATCAGTATTTAGACATTAACACAGTGGAATCATCAAAGCAAAATGATCAATCAAGCCTACATAAAGTTAATATTGAGAACTTTAAATGCTGTTCTTGTTAATTGGACATGTCACACCAATGGAAGGTTTGTAGTTTGAGGAAGGCTTGTGGGCAGCAAGCTATCCAAAAAGCCATTATTCTCTTTTAAATTATGTAGAGAATCTAGAGATGCATATAAAGAACTGTTGTATCAAGAATTCATCAATTAATTGCTTAAATATAATTTCATCGTCTCTAATACCGACTCCTGTAAGCCCTATGGATTGCTTCTCAAAAGGTTACTTCCCAGGAGCATCTTTACCTTGTCATCTTCATCTGTGCTGCTCACTATCTGTTTTGTTGATGCAAGGAATGAAAATCTATCATCGAGAGAATTCATAGCTCTGTCAAATGCATTCATGAACTGCAGAAGTACAAGCATTAAGAACGAAAAAATTACTTTAGGATGTAACTAATGGAAGTGAAAAAAATAAATAATGTGGCAACAAATAAAAATTATTGTAGGAAGGACCATAAATTATGTGCTATAAAGTTGCTTAATCATTATATCAAAGTAGAGCCATCCATCATATATGCATCCTGATGAGCACTGAGAAGTGCGCATTTAAACCCGTTAAGCTTAAGCATTCTAGTACCTTTATCTATCTTACTTTGCCGTTTTAGACTTATTACGTGTTATTTATATTTTCAGGCACTAATCCCAAAATTGAGCTAACTCAGCCAAATAAGAGCTTAATTGAAGCAATCCTGAGATAAACCAAAGGAGGGAGCAAAGTGGAGAAAGAAAGGAGCAAAAAGGAATCAAAGTTGTGCAGCTGAAAAGTTCGATCGATCCAACTTAGAGTTCGATCGATCGAACATCTATGATCGATCACAGTACTTCTCGATAGATCCAACCTTGGCCTTTGCTGAAATTCCAAGTTCGATCGATCCAACATCACCTTCGATCGATCGAACCCTATTTTATCCTATTCAAATTATTGATCTTATCCACAACTGTACGCCTACCAACTACTTTTGTCCTTTTCCCCATAAATATCTTCGAAATATCTCAGCCTTGTCCTTATCCGGAGGAGTCAGACCACTTCGATCGATCCAAGATGCAGTTCGATCGATCGAACCCATCTTCGATCGATCCAAGTTAAGGTTCGATCGATCGAACTTCCTCCAGCGAGAAAAAGTTAAAGTCCAGCTCATTTATTCCGTCCTTCACCCAATCGTTGGAGAATATGCCTTGCACGACCACAGCTCATCATAGGGTGTATTTGACCTACCTATATAAGGAATATGATACACTTTTTGGGGAGGAGTCTAGAGTCTTTTGTCACACATTGAAAATCACCTTGGAGGCTATTCTTGGAGAGGAGGGAGGAGGGAAGCTAGAGCAACCATTGGAGGAGATCTTCACCAACAAGAAGCAGCCATGGAGTTAGCCCTTGAGGGTTGGATCATCACTATCATGAGTGTCTAGACATCCTCTTGGGGCTAGAGTTAGCCCCAAGCATGCTTTCTATACTCTAATCTTGTGTATTATTGAGGGATTAGTGTTGTTTGATACATCTTGATATTCATGTATATATAAATCTTGATTATTTCATGGTTTGTATGGTTTAATGCTTCCAATTGACTATTCTATTCTACCCATATGTCTATGTATGCTAGAGTAGGATATTCATGTGCTTATCTCTAGATTTAGTGTTTTTGATGCATGTCTATGTGTATTGATGCTATAGATCTAGAGATTATCAAGATGATATGCTTAATGAATGCTATTTTGGTTCATTTGATGGTTTATACCTATTCTTGATGGCTTGTGCCTCTCCCCTAGTCTAGATAGCTTTATTTTCATGCTAGTAGTGTAGATTTAGTGTAGTGGTAGTATAATGTTAGATGGGAGGACAATCTACTCTTGATGTTTGATGTTCCATGCTTGTGAGTCCAAATGGCATATTCCTCTAATATTGTGTTGTATGTGGATTGTGAGCTTAATGAATGATTAATGACTAGTTATGATATGTTGTATCTTTCACATGTGTTTAGACAATTTATTCCTCTCCCAATAGATAAATTGTGGCCTCTCACATGATGTTTAGATAATGCATGTTTAACTAAGTCATCCTTATGGATTGCTTGGACTATGAGCTTAATGAAAGGTTCAATGACTTGATTTGATATTTTGTTCTCTTCACATGATGTCTAGACAATATATTCCTCTACCAATAGATGTATTGTGGCCTCACACATGTTGATTGAGACAATTTGCACTTGTTGAGTTTCTTACTTACTCTTTATCTTATTGCATTTTAATTAATTCTTTTCTAGAAGTAATCAACCAACCCAATTCTCTTTTGCAATCATTTGGTACGCTAGAGTCGAAGTTGAAATTCCAACACGTATAATCCCTTGGGACGATCCCTACTCACTCTTGCTACGTTAGTAGTAGTGTTGGTAGTGGTTTTTATAAAATCAAATTTGACATAAAAGGCTTTTCTTGAACCACACATTCACTACATTCAGTTTGGCGTATTGGAACGGCCCTCGTCACATCCCAGTATGTTCCCACATCATAACCGGACATGATTAGACTATTGAAGCATGAATGTTACGAACTTCAACCAGACCATTAACAATATGGTTTGAACTGCCAAAGTATGAAATGGATCAAGTGGTCAAGGCCATAATAGGTCAAGTCACAGTCTGAGATTTCTAAAAGGTGTGACAATAAAAATTTAGGCAAAGACTTAATAGTATGTTTGGTTGGAGGGAAGGATTGAGGAGGGACGGATGAGGAGGGGGGAAGGGGGTGGGGTGGGGTGGGGTGGGGGAGGGGGGAATAGAAGAATCTTTTTGTGTTTGGTAGGAGGGAAGGGAAAAGAGGAAGGTTGTATTTTTTTATCCGCCCAAATTTGTGGGGAAGAGATGAGAGAGAAAAAGATAACTACAAAAAAATATGTAGTTTCCATTTTTAACGTTCCCAAAAACTTGAAATAAATGCTTCCTTTTTATAATTGTATATAATGGGGGTATATTACTAAAAAGACTATAAAAACTCTCTTACCCTTCATCTCAACCAAAAAAAAAAAAAAAAAGAGTGTTACCCCATCCATCCTTTCTATTATCCACTCCATTCAACCAAACAAAAAGAGAGGGAGACACCTTCCCTCCCCTAGTGATGCCTCATCTATCCCTCCCCTCTTCCTTCCATTCGTTTTTCCATCCCTCCAACCAAACGAAGCATTAATGATGATTGGCTTTAATTGCAAGAGGAAGTGGATGGGAATGGAGGTTGGCTACTGATGTCATGAACTAAGTGCTCTAAAACATAGCAACAAGAAGTAACAGTATGAACTGCTAAAAGATGAGACTCTGAACCTTGTATCGCAAGTGATCTGTATCCACAAGATCCCATTGACGTCTGCATTTTTCATAACTCCAACCATTGCCTTCTCTTGGGAAGTCAATCCACTCGGGATGGCCAAACTACAATAAGCACACAGGAAATAGAAGTATTGTACAAGTATAAAACATGGAAGAAAAAAAAAAAGAAAGTAACAAGTATAAAGCATGAATGCATGATTATTTCCATGCCTATTTGTAGAAATAGGATCCTCAAAACAGATTTATGATAAGCAGAGTGTAAGCTTCTGTCAGGAAAGAGTTTCCAGTAATTATTTTCACCTAAAATGATGCCAATTAACCTACCATCAAGTATGGAATCTGAAAAGAGTAACTTTAGAAGCATTGGCTGATTTCATCTGCTCTGCTCATCTTATTTTTACATGATCATGATTACCCCTTTAGCAATGTTTTAAGAACAAAGTGACCCACCTTTTCTGCACAAAATTCCTTTTCTTTTTTTTTTGAGGATTGAAATTTTCTCAAAGGCAAACAAATTAAAATATTGATGGCACACGTGTTAGATATTATTTTACACTATCCAAGTCTTGAAGCGCACCAACTCCACGAGTTTAGCAGGCTAGTGTAGGGTCCTAATTACTCACCTCATTTCCCATGAAATTAAGGTAGCCGTCTCCTCCTAATACCATTGTTATAAAATGAATCATCTACAAAAGAAAATGGCAACGATGAGAACTATGACCAGAAGCATATGATTCATCAGAAGACAATATGTGAGACCTTAACCATATTTATTATAAACCTTAAAGTTGCAGTTTTCTAGACTGAAAATATAAAACAACACCACATAAATAGATAAAGTAAGCATTATATTACTATTGGATCAGTTAGGTTAAGAGTTAAGATCCGTGACATCAGCCTCAAGGTAGAAACCATCACTCAGTTGAGCCATGAAACCATACCTGCAAGGGGCATTCAATTCAAATGCTTACAACAGAACAAACCTTGTGAAGTGCAATCCCTCGCTCAATAGCAGGAGAAGCATCCACCAAACTAGACATGCCAGAATACATTTCTTTATCCATTAGAAAAAATGCAATAGTCTTGTCACCCACAAGGGCCTGCACAAGAGCACAGAAATTAGAAAAAGAAGAGAGAGAGAGAGACGTATGAGTATAAGTGAAATTGTATATAAATTAAACTTAAAGAGATGAATGCAAGTGATTATGAAATGATGTCAATATAGGCAAAGCAAAGAAGATCCACAGCAGTAGAACTTTATAGAACTTCTATTTTACATTTCCTTTTAGCGAGAAAGTTGTGACATCAAGTTTGAGATATAACCTATAGGACAAAAGGATGAGACTCAATCAGAAGAAGTGAACATTCAGCACAAAGAGAACATCGCGTACCTGATCGTGGCTCTCAGCATAAGCGACACACTTCTCGGTGTATCTCCTATTTGTCAAACTGTGTGATATTTCCTTCATTGACCATTCTTCGTCATTCTTATTCTTTAAGTTATCAATCCACTTGTCAGGAATGGCCATCGCCAAACGGTAGTCAAATCCAATTCCTCCCTCAGAGACGGCCCGGCCAAGTCCAGGCATCCCAGAAACATCTTCGGCAATGACAGTTGCATCTGGAAAGATATTATGAATTAAACAATTGGCCAGCATCATATAAACCACAGCATCAACATCTGTTGCCTCACTGAAATACTCATTATAATTCCCCGTGAATCCCATGTTGATTCCATGGTGATGATACAACATTGAAGTTACTCCATCAAATCGGAACCCATCAAAATTGAACTCTTCTAACCACCACCTCAAGTTGGATAGAAGGAAACGGAGAACTTCCCAATTAGCATAGTTAAACAGTTTGCTGTCCCATAAATTGTGGTAGCCTCGCTCTCCAGTGTGGAAGTAAGACTCTTGCGAGCTTTGGCCAACATCAAAGCCATTAAGGCCATCGGTAACATTGCTACTTGCATGGCTGTGAACAACATCCATCAAGACCCGCAAACCCAAGCTATGGGCTTTATCAATCAAATACTTAAGGTCTTCAGGTGTTCCAGATCTACTGCTCACTGCAAAAAAGTTTGTAACATGATACCCAAATGATGCATAGTAGGAATGTTCCATCACAGCCATCAACTGGACTGTATTATAGTTATTCGCCTGAATACGAGGCAAAACATTATCTGCAAACTCCCTGTATGAATTTATTCGGGGTTCTGAGCTACTCATCCCAACATGGGCTTCGTATATTCGTGGGGCCTTGGGTTTTGGAGGACGAGGGTATTTAAAATGATACCTGCATGGTCAATAAAAGAACAAGCCAAGCAACTATTTAATTTTATTTTATGACTTTCCGAAAAAAAAAAAAAAAAAAAAACTATTTAATTTTATTCATATTTTGATCTAAGAAAATACATAAAATTTTCCCCTTATTTTATTGGTAATTAGGTCAAGTGGAAGACAAACTTTCTTAACCTGAAGCCAAAATGAACTGTATCTTACAACTTAATTATCATAAAATATAGGAAAATTTTGAAGAGAAATATACTAACAGATAAGGGGCCTGATTGGTTCAGTTTAAAACAATTTTCAAGAATTTAGCAAACACAAAACAATTTTCAAATAACTTATAAAATACATTTCTCTAAAAACAGGGATTTTTTTAACTCGGTTTGCAAAAAAACTGTCATACTGTTTAATGTTTTTCAGTTCTTCAAAACAGAAAATAGTTCTCAGAAAAGTGAACCAAGTAGGGACTAAGGATCTAGTTAATTGTGATTCATATTTATGAGGCCCTTGGTATTTGGCTGTTCAAATGGTCTTAGTTTGCTTGTTAAGGAAATAACTTAAAAGATGAATGGTTGGCACCTTTCTGAAAGTGGTGGGTCCCAATATACACCATCATACGGTGCCGCAAACCTTGTAGGGTCCACAGTGGCATACTTTATCCAAGCTGGGATACGATCAACCCAAACTCCATTACCATGCTTGAACCGGAACTTGACTCTAGAATTGTGAGGAATGGCTGGATTCACACCAGAATCAGGAATTTTAATACTCCAAACACCAAATTGATTCTTTTCCATCCTGTGGTTGGAACCATTCCACCCATTGAAGTCCCCTATAACTTGTGCTTCCCTTCCTCATCAGAAAGTCAACCCCAAAGTTAGCACTTAAACAAAGACCACAAATAACAAATATGATAACCTTGAATTTTTGTGAGGTGAAGAACTCACTGTGCAGCAGGAGCCCACTCACGGTAAACTATGCCGCCTTCTTCTCTATTAAATCCAAATTTCAAATAACCTACAACAATTAATGGATGGATAATGAGGAGTCTTATATTGGAAAAGTAACTGGTAAGCAAAACAAAAGATCAAAAGTTAGCCATTGGACCAAAAATAGGCAGTCCAAAACAAAATTAATATATCAAAGGGGATATCTAACTATAGAAAAGATGATTATGAAATGTGTTCCACCATTCAACAGAATGCATTCAATGACCTAATTCTAACTATGAGAAAAGCTGCTTCAGCTGATAATAAGGCGAGGATCTTCATTTAGTTACTCAAAGATATGCTTAATATCCTAATTGTAGTTGTCTCCGGGACTTTATAAATGTACTATAAGTAGGTCCTACCACTTCTCATGTAGAAAATAAAAAGGAAAAGCCAAAACTTGCTTGAATTGTTGACTTAGTACATCACCTTGTGCAAATTCCTCCAGGCTTCCCTCATATTTCTCAATAAGCCTTTTCTGATCTGCATATTTCTTCACTCTATACTGGAAGTGTTCTTTATATTGTTCCAAGCCTGGATCTACACGCAAGAGACCAATATTTTCAGCTTCGTTTACAATGGTTGTCATTGTTGGGTCGTCATTGGTCAAAACAGCCGATGTTGTGGAATTGCGTTCTACCTAGCAGAGAAAATCCATCAGATCACTAATTTACACCAAATATATTCCAAAGAGAATATAGGGAATATATCTCCAGAGAGTGAGGGTCAGAATTTATATGCTATAGACAAAAAAACCTTTTTACCTGTACTTTCTAAACCGTCATTGAACATTCAGTTGTTTCTAAGTCAAGATGCTAGAGTTTGCTTCTGATTTTATTCTGTTCTTTATTTTTGTTTCATCTACTATGTAAGGTCAGCCAAATGAAAAGAAAACAGAATGTTATGTAAATAATGACAAAATGTATAAAACGAAACTCAGTTGGAAACATGATCACAAAGAAATTTATATATGCTATAGACTAAAAAACTTTTTTACCTGTACTTTCTAAACAGTCATTGAACATTCAGTTGTTTCTAAGTCAAGATGCTAGAGTTTGCTTCTGATTTTATTTTGTTCTGTATTTTTGTTTCATCTACTATGTAAGGTCAGCCAAATGAAAAAAAACAGAATGTTATGTAAATAATGACATAATGTATAAAACGAAACTCAGTTGGAAACATGATCACAAAGAAATTTATTCCAGTTGGTTAGCTGTCAATTCAATGTACCACACCACACAACAATAAATAAATGGGACCATGCACCAAGTGCTTCTGGCCTTCTGATAAATTTGAAAAATCGGATGGTCAGGACCATTCACATGGATCAAACTTTTGTTCCAAAGAACTCCTTGGTTTTGTTATAACAATCCATCTAGAAGTGTCGGAACTTAAACATACCCTCCCACATTTTAAGAATTGTGTTGGGAAAACTAATTTGCCACGTCCAAGAAAATTTTGAGACCCAGGGATAATTCCAATTGGCTGTCGTGCAGCAAGGTAACGGTTATTTCTTGAGCCCTGCGAAAAGGAACCAGACAAGGCTGTAAAGATCATTACATAACTAAGTCGCATAAAAATGAAGAAATGTGGATGCTAGACATAAGTCACATAACTATGAAGTAGCATCTTGAAAAAAATTGCAACAAACCAAAAAAACAAGATTCCTGGATTGCTTTATTACAGAAGGCTTGTAAAAATTAGTATTTGCGAAGTTCATGTTGAAATTTTACAATGTGTTGGGCTTCACATCAAAGTTTATGCAATTTTGAGGCTTTGTGATTAATTGATAGGTATCAAAGAGAGAAAAAATTCTTTTGGAGAGCCACGTGGAGGCTTAATCAATTTTCATGCACAGCATGTGCCTTTTTTTATATATAATCTTGAATGTGCAGGTAAATCCTAATGATTAGGAACTTTGCAATATCACTTTTAAAAACAAGTCAAAAGTGTAGATTTAAATACTTGAGTTACACCCTCTTTGTTAACCTCTTTGTTAACATTGTAGTAGAGCAGGCATGTCCTGTGCTAAAAGAAAATAATGGCAGGCCCTGTACTAAGAGAATTTTTTTTTTTTTTGCTTCAATTTGTCATATTTAGCACAAATTACACATCTTCCATGTTAAATACTTATTATTCAAGAAATGCCAAAATTGAATTATTTTTGTTATACATACAGATACAATGACCTAATTCAGGGCATGTAGGAGGATTAAATTTTTTGATGGGTCCACCTCCCAAGACCATGACATTGGGGTGATTCTAGTCAATCAATTAAGGTCAATCACTGTCAATCGGGGGTGGGCTTATTGAGGTGCCAGGGGGACCATGGCCCCGAAAATTTTGCAAATACCTATGAATTGGCTTCCCTATAATTAGTAAGTTTGAAACATAAAAAAAAAAAAAAAAAAGGGTTAATTACAATGACACCCCCTGAGGTTTGCCTTAATTACAGCCATATACAAGTTAACCTCTTTTTGAACAATGAGACCCCTTCAGATTTCATAAACTTAACAAAGACATTCCTGCCAGCTCTGACACAAGTTAAAATGACGTTATTACCCTACTTTTCAATTACCCTAATTTTTTAATTATAAATAAGAAAATGTATCAAAAGGCCATTTTAGGACAAAAATACCCTCATCTTCCCCATCTCTCTCCACCCACAGTCCAAAATCAATATCCAATCAGTCCCTTTACAACTTCCATTGAATTTGAATTTATCTTCATTGATTCAAGGCTCATCATTTCAGATACTAAATTCACCGGAACTGTCCTTGCCGAGCTCAGTGACTTACATTCACTCACTCTAAGCAATTCATCCATATCAAACGATTAGTTAATAAAGCCTAAACTCTATCATTTCAACGAGAAACCCATATACTTCTGCAACTCTCTCTCTCTCGGGCTCCAGCAACGGTGACGATGCTCTGGCAACATTGACTAGCAGTGGTGTTGGCATGATGGTGAAGCGATTCTGACGTCGATGAGATCTTGTTCGGCGACTAGCAGCGACGACAACATTGTGGTGACGCAATTCCAACGTAGACAAGGCGACAAGATCCTGGCGACACAAAACAGACATGGTGGTGAGAATCCTATGATGCTGACGATCAAGGAAGATTCTCCCATTCCCGTTTTTTGCATTTTCTTGCTTTAGATCCTTATGCTAAATGCTCTCCACACATAAATTATACCTCTATGATTACATGTTTATCTCAATAAACCCACTTCAGCTTTCACCTCTCTAGAACCCCAACCATTACCCCCATTATAAACACAAGATTCACATAACAAGTAACAGATGAATCCAAAATTGCCGAAATGGGCTTATCGCTTTCAATCATTCGCTCAATAACTTAATTTGTATGCGTAAATAAATACAAATTGTAGAGTAAAATCGCAAGAATTGAGGGATACGCATTTAGAGATGAGACCAATCGAAGAAACCCATGAGGCATTTGGGGTCACACACCTGGTTTTGGTGAAGAACATATCAAACCAAACTTGGGTTTAACTTGCTAGGCAGGTTTGTTGATTCTACGACGAATTCCTAATTGTCCTACTTGAGAATTCCCCTACTGCGACTTCATTCTCATTGGAGTTCTCTAAGCTGTGGAACGATTTCGCAAAAACATGCCTTGATCTTGAGAAAATGCATCCAACGAGATGACAGAGAGGTTCATCGAGAGCTCGAGGAGACCACTTATGCGAGCAATCGAGATGATCATTTTCATCAAATCAACGACCATGATCTCTTCAACACCAAAGCCATGATCACCTTGGCCAAGACGTCAAGATCATCGCTGCCAATTTGATCGTCGACGATGGTCGGTGGTGCTGGTTGTCGTCGTCAGTCAGTCGGATTTCGAGAGGGTTTGTCATGATCTAAGGGTTAGGGTATAAAGAGATTCTGTAGGGTTACATAAGAGAGGTGAGATCTGCAGGGGTTAAGAGAGTGGTGATAAAGGAGTTGAAAGGTTAGAGAGAGAAACGACAGAGAGAGTTGTGGTGGTTGGGTTTTTTAAGATGGGCATTTTAGTCATTTTACGATGCTAATATTTTCTCATCACATATTAATTAAATATTGAAGGGCAATGTAGACATTTTGCTGGCAAAATTTGATATAAAACTAACAGGGGTGTCATTGTTCAAAAAAAGGCTAAGTTCTATATGGCTGTAATTAAGGCAAACCTCAGGGGGTGTCATTGTAATTAACCCAAAAAAAAATTAACATGAAGCCCCCTAGTGCCTACCAAATATAATATGTATCGCCTATACTTATTGGGTTATGAAATACTTAAGGATCATAGGTAATCTTGTCTCAAATCTTCTATTAAATTTAAAAACATAGCCTGTGATAACTACTGGAAATAATATACATTACAATTTATTTAAGAGTAGGAATAGCTTCTGGGAACTTACCACGGATGTCTATCTCAGTCATGACCAGAACAAACAAGCCTATCCGATAACAAGCACGAGAAAGGAAGGAGATAGACCTTAGCGCAGGTATAGAATCAGCCCGGGTCTTGCTTTCCCTAACACCAGTATTTGTTTTCACACCACTAGTTTGGCCCCTTCAAGTGAATTTTCCTGGGTTTACCCCAATTTTCAATAAGGCCTGTTGGGCCATGTTCGCAGTTTAAACTCTAATTTAGTTCAAAGTTTATACTAAATTTTCTCCAATCTCAAATCTAAAGCATCAATTTGGTGCTCCCAAACGTAACATGAGATTTATCGTATCACCGTGTCCATATCGTGTCATACCAGTGTTCATGCTTCATGTTGAGGAACTAAGATAATATATATTTAAGAAAATAGCTTTCTGGATATCCTGATTGAACTTTTGAGATCATCATGTCATCTATATTAGTAACTACTACTAAGTAGGTACAAACCGTACAATGTTATGCCATATCTAGAAAAAAATTAAGAATAGTTAACTAGTTGTTCTAGATTGATGAAGGGACATTTCAGTTGGAGGCTCCTCGTGAACCTAATTATTTGCGCAAAGAACAACCTCCATATATAAAGGAATAACCAATTGCATGAGGCTCCCGCCATTACATGTGGGCCTATAAAAGGGGAGAGGTGGGTGCCCGCGGGGTGGGGAACCTTTAACTGGGGCGGGGATGGGGTGGGAGGATACCCCCTTTAAGCAGTTTTGGGCGGGAACAGGACAGGGTAACCTAAACGGGGGTGGAGGGTACCCCACCCAAAACCGCTTCTGTTGCCATCCATAACTATAAGGTTTGGGGATGATTAAATATACGCAGCCTTAATTTCGTATGCAAAGAGGTTATTTTTTGTTTCAAACCTTACCGTTGCAACATATATGATCATCGTTTTTATTTTTTGTATTAAATATTATATTGATTTCCAGATTGTGCAAACGGAAAAACATATTTCACATTCTTATGCTCCATATGCTTACCATTCTTGGGTCACTTCTGGCTCCTCCACTTTACTAATACAGTGGAAATTGAAACGGTTATCAGAGTGGTGTTGTTCAAGCCGATTGGATTGAATAGATCTTTCCTATAATTATATATATAATAAACCCAAGAAAAATTTATATGTACCACCAAACCAAATTCAAGTAACAGCAACCACCTATACATGAAAACAAATTAAAAAAAATTAAAAAAAAAACCTTTTAATTAAACTAAGCTGATCATGAGATGAAGTTCATTTTCCTATAATTATATATATAATAAACCCAAGAAAAATTTATATGTACCACCCAACCAAACTCAAGTAACAGCAACACCTATACATGAAAAAAATAAAACAAAATAAAATAAAATAAACCCTTTAATTGAACTAAGCTGATCATGAGATGAAGTTCATTCAACAAAGAATAATTTAAACAAAAATTAAGCCGATCATCAGATAATAGAGAGAACAATTTAAATTACCGTTGCAGAGTCTTTGCTTGAGAAGATTGCTAAAGACCCAGAAAAAGGTGTAGAAAGAATGCCTTGGGATCCGTACATTTTCGCCCAATCAGACTCACTGTTTCATCTCTCTACCAATCTCAGTCTCTCTCTCTGTTCCTCAGCCGTCTCACTCTTTTATGGTCACTCTCTCTCGAAGCTTCTACCTATTATATTAACCAAAACTAAATTGCAACCGTTGGTGGATATGTCAACAGTATAACAAAACCCTATAATCAAAACAAGAATAATCTGAATCGTTGAGACATTGGTAATTTGGCACTCACAAAAAGCATGTGTTTGCTTCCTTTTGTCTTTTCTTAATGATTGAAAAGACGTGATCGCACTGATAAGCAAAGCATAACCATATCCTCCGCAAAACGCCACTGGACGTCTCCTTTAGCGTTCTGATTCAAAGTCTTCACGTCGGACGCTCCAGGATCACTCTCTCCAGGAAGGTCAAATGTGGTTTTTTTTTTTTTTTTTTTTTTTTTTTTTTAAGGTTAAAAGACGTCAAATGTGGTTGAAGGTTCCATCACCATCAGGTTTGATTTTGATAATAACCTAAAATAGCTTTGGACTTGTTTGGATTGATTGAATTGGAATAAAAGGGAAAAGAAAAGAAAGGGAGGTGATATGGTGTAAAAAAATAGTAAAATATATTTCTATATATCTTTTTTACTGTCCTCCCAAAAGTCGAATTAGAAGATAAAGGATAGGAAATCTTTTACGATATAAAAAATAACTCACATTTTAAAACACAAAATTTAAAAGAAGATATTGGAAATACTACATATAAGTGATTTTATATAAAAGAAGATATTGGAAATTTTACATATAAGTGATTTTATATATATTAAATAATAAAATGGTTTATTTTTTAAATTGATTGAATAAAATAAAATAATTACAAATGCATTATAAATTAAATTATTGTTAATGTCCAAAATATTTCGAAGCTCTTATTCCAAATTATCCTTCTTAAAATCGTATAATTTTAAAATACCAAAAAGTTAAGAGAATATTTATAGGATGTTGCAATGCAAGACAATATTTATCTCACGCCATACCTGATGGTTAAGGTGGCCTACTCAAAACTTTACATTTGTTTCAAAAATTATATAATATTAAAATTTTATTTAACAAAAAAAAAAAAAAAAAAAATTTAATCAAACTTGCAAAAAACGGGTTACCTATGTCTTAAATCAATAGCTCTCACTGTTTGCACCCTAAAAATAATTTTGTAATCATGGGTTACTTAGCAAGAATCAAATTGGGCAATTGATGCAACAGGTGGAGTAATTTCGTACATTAAAATGACCATAATTGTTTTGTCTATTGTTGCACATGATATTTGTTACAATGATACGTGACATAATAAGAATGAGCAAGGAAAGTGCTGATTGGTTCTTTAATAGTTTTGGTTGCATGAGAAGTTAACCAATATTAGGAGATGTTTAAGTCAAAGACTGCAACTATACGTAGATGATTTTGATTGGCCACATGGTGATTACATCAGTTATATAAAGAAGTTTATCAACTTGCAAATGGAAGTTTACCTCTAAAGCGGGGTTTCAAATTTAGACAACAATTGTATTTAAATTCAAACAAGGTAGTTTGAATTTAAAATTACACAGAAGTTTCAAGTGCGGCTTTGGGAAGTAAGTATAAATATCGCCAGAAGGAGTTTGTGCAAAGGTTTCCTACCACAAAATGCATATTTTATCATGTAGTATTTTTCAACTTTTCGTGTATTTTTTTTTTTCCTGTAGTTTACTTTCTCTGTATTTTCATAGGATATTATAGTTTGATTACAATTTCATTATTTGTAATCCTTGTACTGGAATTCTATTTATGGAATAAGAGATTGGACGCTTGGCTTTTGTCCCTTCCATCTGTTATTTTATATGGTACTGGGATTGATAAATGTTTGTGTAGTTCTTTTGCTCCCTTCATCTATTTCATTATCTGTTACTCCTTCTGTCCCAAAAAGGATGTCTTGTTTGGGATAATGAGTCACGGTTCTTCAATGAGGCATTGAAGATTGAAGAGGCATTGAAGAACCCTGAGGGAAAGTGGTAATCCTAACTTTCTTACAATCTCCTGAAATTCTCTAAGTACCAATTTCTTTTATACGGTTATAAATAGGATAGGTTTGACTATTCTGAAGTTGAGTCAATAAACTCTGGCACGCCTTTGCAACAAATTTAGGATTGATTAATGCTACTGCAGTTCTTTTGCTCCCTTCATCTATTTCATTATCTGTTATTAAAGTCCTCTTCAATGAGGCATTGAAGAACCCTAAAGGAAAGTGGTAATCCTAACTTTCCTACAATCGCCTGAAATTCTCTAAGGACTGATTTCTTTTATTCGGTTATAAATAGGATAGGTTTGGCTATTCTGTAGTTGAGTCAATAGACTCTGGCACGCCCCTTGCAACAAATTTAGAACCAAACACTCACTCAAGAATTATAATCAATCAACCATGCCCTGAAAATTATTAAAGCTTCCTCATATACGTCTGCCATCCGGCACCTTATTGCCGTCGCCGCGACATCTTCATTGTTCGTGGTAGAACTTAGACATATCTAAAATTGGCCTCTCCACCAGAAATGTGGTTAATTTGTGCTCATTTTAACATTATGACAATATAATACAGAGTAGTACATCATTCGCCTCAGTAATACAAGCACATAAATCTCGTCTCTTCTCTCCGAGATAGGGAAAAAGTAATTGGTTGTAGTTATGTTTTTTTTCATTTATAATAAAACGTTTTCTTTTCTAGTTGTGAGGAGCTTGTTGAAATTGACTATGTATTTTTTGGTACTTTCATATGCGTAAATACTCTTTCTTTCTAGTTTTTATTTTATTTGTTTGTATATGAATGATTTATGTTACTGTATTAAAAAAATAATAATAAATAAATAAATTGGTGTGTGTGTGAGAGAGAGAAACGCGTTGAAAAGTCACTGGAACTATTCATATATATGCAAGTAACAAAGTAAAACCGAAATGCTCAACAGTAATTCCTAAGCTACTTCTGCTACATCCACAATGCTCCTCAAGAGATGACAAGGTCTCTTGGATAGCTTATGTTGATGCAAAAATCCTTGCGACTCAGAACGACGGCGTTTACCTACAAAACAAAGGGGCGTCACCTTGAATGGCACCGGTGAGGTGCCAGCCAAGGACCCTTCAACGATCAAGTTAGTACTTGTAATCGTATCACATAATAATTATGTAATTTTTGTTTAGGGGTTTTTTCCCGTACCTTCTTTAATGGCTTGGTGTCCTATTTACGGCTGCCAATTGGAATCAAATTGGTCCCGCCGATGTCGATAGTTGAGGTCTGTGATACCCCTCGGATCCGAGACACGGGTTGATCAGGCCCAGGCCCAAACCCGAGGGATTATCGAACAATTAATATTTTATAACGAACACGGAATACAAAATGAATTAAGAAATGAAAGCTTAAAGCTGAAAAGAAAACTAAAAGATAATCCTTAAATAATTAAATACTTAAATTTGATAAACCAAATATCCATAATTTGAACAACTCGGGAATCCATCTCTAGTGGACCCCTAATAAAAACCTCACATTGAATGAAAGTAAAATGAAAGATAAAATCCAAATTCAAGATCTGGAAAGAAATCCTACATCGTCGGTAGAATGGAAGATCGTCTCTGCTCAGCACGAACAAGCTCAAGCCTGGAACTGACGTACACCTGAAAAATAGGAGTGAGTCAGGCCCACGAACAAGTTCTATCCTACTACAATCCAAGCAGAGACTCGATACGCATGTACATACTAAATAGTTCAACAATAACTAATAATCCGTACATAAATATATCCACACTACTGGACTCTCGCTAGGCCATGAAGGGGGTCTCAACCTGGATAGAAAGCATCACACAATACGCACCTGAGTGGGCATGAGTACCTAAACCTAAACAGGGTATACCTCAACCTTCACAGTCAGCTACACATCCAACTGCATATACGCACCCTAACCGTCGACACTGAGACTCAAGCTCATGACACGGTAACATAAAAATATATCTAAACTCCGTTTCTAACCATCCACAAGAAATCCAGTAAGTCACTCGGCGTATTCAACCGTACCGACTTATATATATAAGAAGGATTATATTTTATAACCCGTGCCCTTACTCCAAAATAGGTAGGACTTAGCAATTTGAGCTAATCCAAACCTAGTATGTCACCGTCCCATACCGGTACATACAATCCAATCCGTCCAATAGTTGATAAAGCATATACAAGTACATAACAATATCAACGAGTCCATATCAAGCCTATCAGAATGTATTAACAACCGTTCTTGAATAGTCCCAACAAATTGATTAACATTGGAAATATAAATATCAATATTAATTATTCTATTCCACGCATTTAAATAATTTATAAATGCCAAAACCAACAATTCCAACCTAACCATGTCAGAATAAATTAACCATCATGCTTTAATAAATCCAACCATTGATTAAGTACTAACAGTATCAGTGTCAAAACCCACAGTTCCAAACTAAGCACATTAAAGTATACTAGAAAAACATGCTTAATTAATCCAACAATAAGCTGTTACCTGATCACCCACAGGACTGTGTCTGTAAATATAAGTTTATTCCCGGTATCTATAATTAACAGAGCTTAAACAAATGTTATAATATTTATTTCCATGGCATGCATAATAAATCTAGACAATTTATCATACTGTTAAGCTCCTATTCAACAAAATTGACGAATTAAATGTTAAGTTTAATCATCAATTAATCTTTCGCAAAAATACAGATTCCTTGTATGTATGTATACTCTAAGAATTTGCAATTAGCAGTGCACAAACTCTCACAAGAAATTTTACATTATAATCTAGAAGTTAGAAACTCCAAATCCACACAGGTCTACAAGACATTCGTAATTAACTCCATGTAATCCTAATGATTAATGCTTTGTGTCCAATTCTATGTTAATCTGATCTTTGAATATTTAGGTTTACTCTAGACCACTCCTAAACCATCTATTACAGTATTCATTCTCCACTAAAACATATTAAAACAATCACTATGAAGCCTAATCACTGAAAAGTGGAAAAACAAACAACAGAACCAAAAACCCACGTAGAAAACAACCTAGAGCCGGCTCCAGAATATTAGAGCCCCCTCCAATGGCCTTGGAGCCGGCTCCTAGACCATTGGAGCCGCCTCCAATCCAAGGAGAGCCGGCTCCAACCCAATAGGAGCCGGCTCTCTCCCTCCTCTTCTTCGTGTTCTCCTCTCCAGTCGTCGTTTACGCCTCTGACACTTCACAGTATAGGTTTTCAGAGAATTTAACTTAATCCCAGAAGATTCCAACCTTTAATTCAGTCCTTATTATGCTACTAATATGGATTAAACCCAAGAATTAACAAGAAAGTTCAAAGTTAACCAGTTTAACAATTTTAAAAACAAATT